CTACTACTACTACTACTACTACTACTACTACTACTACTACTACTACTTCATTCACATTATCGACAACCCTCCACTAAGAGCAGTAAGTGCAGCAATCCTGCTTCTTGCACGCCCCCAACACTAGGAACCAGGCCACTGTGCTACGTGGATAATCGTGGATATAACACAACAGACATCAACAGACTATTCTTTGCGCCTCGCGCTGCCAGCGGTGTGGGCCAACACTGCAGAGGGAACTCTGATTGCTGATAACGTCACTTGAGGGGCCTGGAGAACTTGCTCGCTTTGTTCCATGAAAGCTGATCTACGGAGGCTAACATATGTGCTCTTTTGCTTCGCTAGGTGGTCACTCCGGGTTGGGAATGTGAAGGCCAGAATCTCAACTTTTGAGAGCCTGTTAGCCTATTATGCTCACTTCTGAAATATGCGTAGATCTTTGTAGATCTCTGCGAAGAGATGAGACGTCCTCGGCAGATGTTTTTTTCACGACGCTACGGCCGAAGGACGGTGTCGTGCCAGCCCCGGAGTCGGCCCACCACTGTGGAGCGAGGTGGTGCGAGGGGGCGCGGAGGCCGAGAACGCCAGACAGGGAAAAACACCAATGTTTAAACCAAATCAATGAATTAATAATACCAGCGAATCTAGCGATGGCCTCCACCATAGAAGCCTTAGAAGCACTGGCCTCCAACCTACTAGCGTTGGCCTCCAACATAGAATGTCATGACTTGTCATGACTTGAGGAATAGAGAGGACTTGGCCGAAGGGCTTTTGTGGACTTTCGCATTCCAATTGAGGTGTCTCAATTGGTGGGGCTGAGCGCTTTCCAAGAGCAGGTGCAAGTTTCTGTCAACCCCACAAACCGTCAGAATGAATCGAACCAGGATTGATCCATGCTACAAATAACAAATAATACAAATCTATTTGCTGCTCTCCCACCGAAGAAACCACGATTCTCGCCAGCTGACGTGAGCTGCAGCCCCGGTCCCATCTACAAGTTGCCGGAGGCTGACCGCTTTTTGCTTCTTCTGATCCAACATGTCAAGAGATCAGCTCAACGGGACAGTGTAGCGATGGCCTCCAGCCAAATAGCGATGGCCTCCAACGTAGTAGCGATGGCCTCCAACCTAGTAGCGATGGCCTCCAGCCAAATACCGATGGCCTCCATCCTAGTAGCGATGGCCTCCAACCTAATAGCGATGGCCTCCAACCCAGTAGCGATGGCCTCCAGCCTA